CGTGGGGTGAGATGGGACATGCGCCAGCTCGCAGATTAAGCGTAATAGAAGATGTTTGGTTGGATGTAAAACAACTAACACTTTGTACAGACATTATCTTAAAGACAAGGCAGTTTTATTACACAAGGCAACTCCAAGTGCTTCATTCATCCAAAAACACAACACTTGGATTTACAATAATTTACACTTCTGTTGGCAGTTTATGCGCAGCATAACAGTTAAATGCCTCTTCACCGTGTTTGCTTTGAAACATGGGCTCCACCAAAGTGTATGTTCGCCTGGCACTTTTCATTTGCTTCTAGTATTTGTCATCGGTCGACTCTCGTCACCATTTTATTTCTTGTTGAAATGTTAGTGTGGTAACCTGGGGAAGGACACTGCTGGGACGACAGATGACCGGGCAAACCTGCCCGTATTTGGAAATGACTGTGTCATGGCCGACCATTAGCAGCAGGGATGCTTTTCCCGCTGCTGTTCGAGCATTGTGAAATCATTCTGCCAACACCGCTCTTAATGAGCCGCGGCGTCTGACGTCTCAGCAAGTTGAACATTTTTTGCTGCCACTGACCATCCAACCCCGGAGGCGGTGAGGGCTGCATGGGCTCGCTCCCAACTACTCGTGAGGCAAGAAATCTGCATGGTCGCCTTGGCAGCACGAGCATCATCTGTCTGAAGCATTCGATGCAGAGGACAATTTTCAATCATGTATTCATGACCGCTGGAGTCAATGCGATGGCTTATGCGCAGAAATCTCATGTTGAGTGCAACACGATGCTGCACCAAACGTCTTCTTTCATCTGTGCTCATCATTTTCATATGCCAACACTTGGTATCGGCGTCGCTGTGAAAGAAAGACGCGCGTTTTAGAGAACGGTCGTATTTGGCAAGCAGGAGTGAAATCGCTCCTAAATGAAGCATTTTCACGATGACAACTCCCTTCTCTATCAAGCTCTTCTTCCTCGCTGTTCAAGTCCTCGTATGGCGGCAGCACACGAGGACTGTCTTCCCCGAGACGTTCACGTCAGTCACGAGTGTCCCTCGCATTTGTCATGTTATTTGGTATTTGCAGGGTTCGAACGCAGACGTTTTGCATAAAAAGTGGACATGAGAAGCGATGCGCATGGAAAACACGGGGGAGGCTCGTCAAAGAGGCATCTATCGCACATGATTAAATACACACACACACACACACACACACACACACACACACACACACACACACACACACACCCGCGGTCACACTCACAAGCCTCATATGAAAGTAAATGTGTGCTTACAGTAGAGTGAAGTGGCTGCTGCTCACATTCATCTGTACTTGCCCAAAGTTAGAAAGTGGATCTTATTCCATACTATCTGAATTTTAAAAAAAAATGTGACAATTCAGCATTTGAAAGAATATTCTCACAATTTGACACGGTGTCGCATAATAAGCATTTCTAAGTTTGAAATGCTTTCTTTTTCGGAAAAATAAATCATATTGGTGCTCGCGTATTTATAGCGGTGCTGCTTCTTCGGCATTCAGCCAGCAAATCATTCTGACACCTCACTGCATTTTATTTGGGCCATGAAGCTACGCTGAATTACATATTTAAACAATTTTAAGGCTGTGTAGAAATGCAAATACCGTACTGCATTTTTCCTGTGAGGGACTGAAGTCCGATGGGTCAGATGGGACAGGCGCCAGCTCCCAGATTAAGCGTAATAGAAGATGTTTGGTTGGATGTAAAACAACTAACACTTTGTACAGACATTATCTTAAAGACAAGGCAGTTTTATTACACAAGGCAACTCCAAGTGCTTCATTCATCCAAAAACACAACACTTGGATTTACAATAATTTACACTTCTGTTGGCAGTTTATGCGCAGCATAACAGTTAAATGCCTCTTCACCGTGTTTGCTTTGAAACATGGGCTCCACCAAAGTGTATGTTCGCCTGGCACTTTTCATTTGCTTCTAGTATTTGTCATCGGTCGACTCTCGTCACCATTTTATTTCTTGTTGAAATGTTAGTGTGGTAACCTGGGGAAGGACACTGCTGGGACGACAGATGACCGGGCAAACCTGCCCGTATTTGGAAATGACTGTGTCATGGCCGACCATTAGCAGCAGGGATGCTTTTCCCGCTGCTGTTCGAGCATTGTGAAATCATTCTGCCAACACCGCTCTTAATGAGCCGCGGCGTCTGACGTCTCAGCAAGTTGAACATTTTTTGCTGCCACTGACCATCCAACCCCGGAGGCGGTGAGGGCTGCATGGGCTCGCTCCCAACTACTCGTGAGGCAAGAAATCTGCATGGTCGCCTTGGCAGCACGAGCATCATCTGTCTGAAGCATTCGATGCAGAGGACAATTTTCAATCATGTATTCATGACCGCTGGAGTCAATGCGATGGCTTATGCGCAGAAATCTCATGTTGAGTGCAACACGATGCTGCACCAAACGTCTTCTTTCATCTGTGCTCATCATTTTCATATGCCAACACTTGGTATCGGCGTCGCTGTGAAAGAAAGACGCGCGTTTTAGAGAACGGTCGTATTTGGCAAGCAGGAGTGAAATCGCTCCTAAATGAAGCATTTTCACGATGACAACTCCCTTCTCTATCAAGCTCTTCTTCCTCGCTGTTCAAGTCCTCGTATGGCGGCAGCACACGAGGACTGTCTTCCCCGAGACGTTCACGTCAGTCACGAGTGTCCCTCGCATTTGTCATGTTATTTGGTATTTGCAGGGTTCGAACGCAGACGTTTTGCAGCCAAGCTTTAAATAGCCTGTTGACCACAGAAAATTTGGTCGAGTGTGTGACAGCGAGCGTGAGCTGTTGCCAAAAAGTGGTTTGGGGAGCGTGTGCGCATGCGTGTCTGTGCGTGTCTGTGCGTGCCTGTGAGTGTGTGTGTGTGTGTGTGTGTGTGTGTGTGTGTGTGTGTGTGTGTGTGTGTGTGTGTGTGTGTGTGTGTGCGTGTGTGTGTGTGTGTGTGTAGACGGCACTATGTGTTTTAGAGGTCTCCTGGGAGGATGCAATAGCACAGCCATTCACTAATGCCCTCCCCAGCTATCCCCACTCCTCTCCAACACTCATATAAACACGCTCGCTTTCACACACACACACACACACACACACACACACACACACACACACACACACTGGCTCATGAAGCCCGCCTCCCTCATCCCCGGACCCAAAAACTCCCATCTCTCTCTGCCATACCTCCACATCCTCGCACCGCCCCTCAACTAAAGTCAGCACACACACTCTGTTCTCTGCCAGAGGCACCGACAGAGCCAGGTGTGTGCGAGTGCGTTCAGGTGTTCGCGTGTGTCGTGGATCTCGTACTTCGAGCGCTCAGTGCGTGCGTTTCAGGGACCCGATGAGAGGATAGCCGCGCGGCGTGACGGTTCGTCCAAAGTGTGACTGTCATTTGTTGAGAACGTGCCATATCCACCTCGGTCCCCTGCGGGAGTGGAGGCGCGGACGGACGGGAGAATCGTGCGGACGCGCCGCCAAGCTGCGCGCCTGTGCAGCGGCCGTGGCCGAAGCGCTGGATGCGAACGCGATGGATTAGCAGCAGCCTCGTCCCAAGCGTGCCGCAGTTTCCCTTCATTCCCAGCCCAGGACAACCACTCTCCATCACGGGATTATTTCCACTCTCGACGATCCGTCTCCTCCCCACCGAGCTGAGATGACAGAGGAGTGCGTGTTGCGCTGTGCGCTGATGCTCTGCTGTGTGCTCCTCTCGGCCAATGCCAGCAACTGGCTGTAAGTTCCAGTCCCTTTTTTTTTCCCTCATGTATTCCTACTTTTTTTGTTTTTCAAAATGTTCTTCCACGTGCAACCACTTCTAAATGTCGTTCATTTCCATTTTTATCTTCCCTGCCTTCACTAGATTGGGGGGTAGCTCAGTCAAACACAAACGCTGAGACTTAATAGTGCAAATCTCCGCATGCACCACTCCTGCAAAAAAAAAAAAGTGTGCACTATTCGGAAAAAAAAAGAAAGAAACAACATGCATGTCTGCGCAAATGTCAACTTGGGTGATGACTTGTCGTTTTGCAAGCCGCAATATGAAACTCGTATATTCCAATAATTGGCTGCAGAATGGATGAGACGAGTCTCTTGCATCACACCAATAACTCTGGTTCAAGAAGAGTGTTATAGACTTACAGATGAAGAAGACACACCAGATAATGAAAGCCACAAATCTTAAACGTCATGTAAATGGCGGAATGAAGAGCACTTCTTCACTTGTTGGGAACCCGGCCAGCCACGCGGACTTTGATGTGAGTGGAAGATGGTCTTTTAAAGTTTCATTTATTTATATAGATGTATTTTTTTTTCTGAATCTGAAAAAGGCGGCGTCGCTGACCAAATGAAAAGTCACGCATTCCCACAAGCCGTTGTAATTTATGATACCCCGCGACGTGAAATGAAATTGCAATCATGCTCTGGAAGAAGATGAGAAGCGGCCAGCGATCAAGCGCAAAAAACGAGGAATGTCTTCCGCAGTTTGCCTTGCGCAACTGCGAAGCGTCCGCTCGGGTCGCATGTGCGTGCCTGCTCCGCCTGCGCGCCGTGGGAGGCGGATGGGATGGTGAGGTGGCTTTTCCCGCATTCCTCCGCACTTCGGTACATTTTCGCGCTGCGATTCCACCTCTTATCTCCCGACACATTTTTTTTACGAGCGGCGTCGATCATTAAGGGAGGAACCTTGCCAATTCATTGCACGAAATTCATTGCAGCCCCACCACCACCCCCACCCTAACCCTAACCCCAAGCGCGCCTGTCTTTTGGTCTCGCGGTACGATGCTGACGATTCCCATCCACTTTCAGAACATGTTACGGCAGGGGGCGTGACTTTGTGCCATTCGTTATTAAAATTGATGTTGACACGAAGATAAGAGCGCCGCTTGCATACGGACCCGCTATAAGAAGAGGAGGCCGCGTGAAAGTCTTTGGCAAACACCTTGAACTCTGTCACCGAGCGAGCGAGCGAGCGAGCGCGGAGTTTAATTGTGCAGTTTGTGACTGAAGGCGTGGTGACAGCAGACATGTACGGGCAGGCTCGCGGAGCTGCCTGCAGTCTGCTCGATGGGCTTACTCGCCGCGATTGGTGCGTGGACCGCATACGCGCCGAAGCTTCACTTTCACCTCCGCGTCCCGGCGGCGTGATGTTGCGCAATCAGCTAGCACGGATTCCGCCCAACTTGATTGTTTTATATTTGTGGCCTTCATTTCATTACTCACCGAATGTATTTATTTTTAATGCGTCCGATTTAGCTGAGCTTCCGTCGACGCCCCCCAGGTGTCAAACCGAAAGGCCCGGGGGCCAGATCGGGCCCGCCAGGTCATTTTATGCGGCCCACGAAAGCAAATCATGTGCATCAACTTGCTCAAATCTGTACATTTCATGTCAAGTTGTCATGTGTAATAAATCACGTTAAGATTTTCCAATAATGTTCTTGCCCAGTTTCCACTCACGTGATAAATTATTGAACAAATTAGTATAATTGTCTTGACTGATTTCAAAAGTAGTAATCTATTAGTTTGTCGTGTACGAGTAATAATTTTGGGGTTTCACTGTGTGTGATAACGGCCCTCCGAGGGAAGACGCAACTTCAAATTGGCCCGCAACTAAAATGAGTTTGACACCCCTGGTCTACGCTGTCAGCACCGAGGAGACACCCAGTAGTCAGATTTAGAGAGCAACTTAAAGCTGCTCAATGCATGCTTACCCTTTCACGATCAATGTTCTAGAAATGAGAGCTATTGCCTTACGTATTGGGTCCGATTGGATCCATTTTGACTAATTGAATTACAAATACACACAAGTCTTTCTTTCACCCTGAAATTTGCTATAACTTTAAAACAATGACACACACACACACACACATTCAGAAAGAAAATGTCATTGTATTGCACAGGTGCTACAGGACTTCCGTTGTGGATATGATGGGAATCTTTAAACTGAAACTGTGCATGCCATAAATGCGTGCATTTTTTTTTTTTTTTTTAATGGGAGAGTGGTAACAGAGTTCAGGAGCTTGACTGAAAGCGTCCTGAGGACTGTCTGCGTTTCCACCGCTTTTGCACAGTTAGCCCGGTTGAGAAACATGGCACTTGTTGGTCTGTGGAGGGTCATGGGGGGGAAACTCAAAACGACCAGATTTTTTTTCCCCACTTTCTCCTGTCATGAGCTGGCAACCGCCATGCATGTTGCCGGATGTGTCCCCGGGGAACGCGGATGTTTCTTGAAGTACTATTTTGGGTGTATGCATATGGTAATGGTGGCACACGCTCACTAATTACCACCTGATCTAATTGTGTACCTGCCTGTGCGCGCATCCGCCGCGCACCGCAATTTGGCGAATGTACTGGCAATAGCGCTTGCTCAAAAACAGAGTGATTTACTGTGGAAGAAATGTGCCTGTTTTTGCAGTTGGGGTGTAAATATTAGGTGGACCGGGCCCAACGCAGGTAACAGCTGTGTTGGGTGAAGAATTTGGACCTGTGGGGCCTAATTTCGGTCATGTAACAGCAACAACCAAGCGCAGGGCAATAAAGGAGTCTTCAAGTCGGATACGACAGCTGTACGGGGCTCCGAAGCAAAGGAAAAGTTATGGGATCCAGAGGGAAATTAATATCCTGTCCCTTTAGGTCTCCAGTTGTACAGAGAGTAGAACATACCCTGAGAGGCCTCAGAGGCATTTTTATAGGTACGGTATGTGTAAAAAAAAAAAAATCATGATGATCTCGATTAAAAAAATAAGTGAAATAAAATGAACACAGAGGAGTTCATTAACACTATGGGATATATGTTATCCTACTTGGTGGTGCGCGTGGCTGAAAGACGGCCTTTCCAGATTTATTGACAAGAACTGCACCAGTTCAGTGTGGCATGTTTTCGACGGTGGATGGAAACGGCCATGTTCAAATACCAGATTTTTGTGACATGAACAAAACGTGACGAAGACATTGTCTTTCAAAACATTCTCAGCATTTAGGTGATCTATAACCCGTGCAACTGAAAATCATAAATCAATGTTTTTGTGAGAGGGGGAAAAAAATAAAATAAAACCTGAGATAGTGTGGGTGCACATGCAAAAGAATCTCATACCCGAAGTGAAGCACATGACATACTCATGCTGTGGAGCTGATTTTCTTCAAATGGAAGTGGGGCCTTAATCAATGTGGTGGGAATTATGAACAGTTCCAACTACTAGCCAGTGTGAGCACAAAACTTTCAGGCTTTTGCACACTCGTACAGCTGAACTGCATTTGGACTTTAACAGGTGGCACTTGCCTGCTAATTCCCTTCTAAGATTATTTTTAATATGATTGGTTGATTTTGAGTAAATCCACATCCCTATTTATAAGAGGATGGGTGTGAATTTGTTCATTTCTTCCAGGGGTGTCCGAACCTTTTCGTTTGAGGGCCTTATACAGAAAAATGGAAGTGTGAAAGGGCCACTTTAAAAGTCGTCCACTGTTTGAAACATGCTAAAGTCAGTCAAGAAAGCAATAACAGAATGTTTGGATTGGAAGTTCAGAATCGATTTCCATGATTTTCAAAAAGCAAAGGTGAAGCTACCGCTTTCCTCAAGCAGATGGCAGCGAGGGGACAATTTGTTGAGGTGAGTCAGCGGTCTGAAAGGAATCAGCAGAGTCACGTGACGTCATCTGAATGAGGCGGGAGGGACTGACTTTCATCTGGCTGCATGCATGGAAGTGCAGGATTCAATTTATTTATGTATGATTTATATTGTTTTAAAATGTGCAAGAAAGTATTCTTTGAGAAAATCGTGAACTGCAAATCGCAGTAAAATCAATTTTCGTGATATAAATCTAATCGTCACACAAGTCGTGTGACTTGAATGGAATCGCGAGGTAAGTGAATCATCCCACCCCGACTAAACAGCATATTCATATTCAGAACCAAAAAAAGAAAAAAAAAACTGCAGTCAGGTGACCATTTTTCAGTTGCGAGAGTATCATTCATGTGACGGCTTCATCAATCAGAGCGCAAAGTGGAAGGCACTATTTTTGCCTCTAAAATTGAATTCTCTTTCTTCACTGCAGTGCTTTGAAGATCAATTGTGTTATTCTTTTCATCACGAATGGTTCATTTGTACCTTCGAATATGGCGAAAAGTTCCACAGTACACCCTCCCTTCCCACTCTGCCCACCTGTACCTTTTTGAACTCAGCTTGTGGCCCATGTCAAATGGCATGTTTAATTTTACATCTAGGTATCTCTCTCTCTCTCTCTCTCTCTCTCTCTCTCTCTCTCTCTCTCTCTCTCTAGAGAGTGTCATGTCATGGATGATGGGCCGCAAATTGCCCCTGGGCCCTAGTTTGGACACCTCACATTTATTCATTGCTAATCGTTAACACGATTACAACTTGTTGGTGTATTAAACAATGCGAAATGACAACGATATTCCATATTATTGTTTTTATTCAGTACCTGGCACGGAATGTGCCGAACAATCTGCACGGCAAGAAAACCGTCAGCAGGTTTCAAACATGACCATGAGGACAACTCCAGATAACAGATAGCAGGTAGCAGGTAACTGCGACGCTCCTTACTAGTAGCACGAAAGTGTTGTGTGTAGGAGCAGTCAAGCACATGTCCCGTATAAGCATGGCGAGGTGCTAAAGAGATGGCAGGGTAACCAGAGAAAGCGGAGACCTTGGCAGCACACGCTGGCGCCTCACACTTTGTTCGCATTCACATGACATGCAATGAGGTTTGCGACATGT